CTTCCCCTGAGCAGGAGGACCCCCGGGAGCCCCTGCTTGGGCCGCAGGCAGCTCCCCGCAGCCCAGGGCCAGGTCGCTGCCTTGGTCTCCCCCATCTCTGGCCTCTCCGGGGTCAGGCCACAGAACCCTGGCCGGAGGTGGCCTGGCTGGGTGCTGACGGCCAGCAGGCCCACCTGGCGGAGCCCCAGCTAGCCCAGGAAGCTGAGGGCTCTGGGGGACCCCAACTGCTCGTGCCCTCTGTCCCCTCTCCCTCCCAGGAGGGCGCGCCCCTCCCCTCGGAGGAAGCAGGCGCCCCAGATGCCCTGCCCGGCTCCCCGACCCCCGCGGCCGGCTGCCAGACCCCGGACAGCAGCTGCAGCCCCCCGGAGCTGGAGGCAGCCAGCAGTGATGACAAGGAAGCAGCAGCCAGGGCCACCGAGGCTGTCCCCCCCAACCTGAGGGAGAAGCCAGCCACGATGCTGGCCGGGCAGCCCCAGGACCCCATGGACTCGCTGGCCCTCCCGTGTGCAGTGGGTGAAGGTGGCTGTGAGCCCTCCAGCCCCTTGGCTGCTGGGCCTCCTGGGGGGCAGCCGCGAGCACTGGACAGCGGCTACGACACCGAGAACTACGAGTCCCCTGAGTTCGTGCTCAGGGAGGCTCAGGAGGCCGGCCAAGAGTTGGGGAGCCCAGGCCTGGAGCCTGAGACGCAGCTGGCTGCCCCCCGGGGGGCCCTCAGCGAGAAGAACCCATACCGAGACTCGGCCTACTTCTCAGACCTGGATGCCGAGCCGGACCCCCCTTCTGCCCCGGGAAAGCAGCAGGTCCATTCCCCGGGGCCTGAGCGGGGCCTGGGCAGCCCCCAGGAGGCAGCGCAGGGCACTGGCTCCGCCGAGGTGTGGCTGCCGGCGCTGCCAGCAGTTGCCCCGGGGCCAGGGTCTCCCCAGGCCCCAGGTCCAGCCAGCAGCCTGGGGCTCGTCCTGCTCCCCGGGACCTCGCTGAAGGCAGGAGGCAGCAGCCTGGAGCCCCCTGGGTCCCCCCAGGAGCGCACAGTGGATGCCCTCTGCCTGGCCTCGCCCGGCCGCCCCCCAGCAACTCCAGGGCCCCACCTGCCGGAGGAGGAAGAGGAGGACAGCGAGGACAGTGAGGAGTCGGACGAGGAGCTGCGCTGCTACAGCGTGCAGGAGCCCGGGGAGGAGAGCGAGGAGGAGGCGGCCGTGCCCGTGGTGGTGGCCGAGAGCCAGAGTGTGCGCAGCCTGCGCGGCCTGCTCAAAGGCCCAGGCCTGCTGTCCCGCGCCCTGCGCGACGGCCTGGAGCACAAGAAGAAGGCTGTCTCCTTCTTCGACGACGTCACAGTCTACCTCTTTGATCAGGTGGGTTGTGCGGGGCACAGGGTGCGGGGGGGGGGGGGAGCGGGGCCGCGGCGTGCCGGGTGCCCGAGCCACCAGCTGCTGCGGCCCCTGCAGGAGAGCCCTGCCCGGGACCCGGCGGAGCCCCCGCCCTGCGCCAAGGAGCAGCCGCCCACGTTCCTGGCGGGCAGCCCCGGGGCCCCCGGCCGGCCGTGGCCCGCAGAAGGCTCCCCCGCGGCCAAGGGTGAGCAGGGCAGACCGAGACCTCAGGGAGAGGGGCGGAGCTGGGCTGGGTGCGCCCCTTCCACTCATGTGACCGTGGGTTGTAGGTGGTGCGTTTGAACGGGAGGACTTCCCATTGATGCCAGCCAAGGCCACCCTGGCCCCAGCCCTGGACCCTGCTGCACCCACCCCGGCCACACCGCCCACGCCCGCGTCGCGCTTCACTGTGTTGCCCACGCCCGCGTCCCGTTTCTCCATCACACACGTGGCGGACGCCGACGCCCAGGCTGTGGGAGGTGAGGTGGTGGGGTTGGGCCGGGGCCCAAAGGCTGGTTCCCTGCTGGGTTCAGCTGCCCAGACCCATCCTGTCCCCGTGACCTGGCCCCCGATGCACTCGGCATTGACCTGTCTGGCCCCGCTGGGCCCCACATGCAGGCCTGTGCCCTGCCTTTGCCCTGCAGCACCTGCTGGATCCTGAACCCTTATCTGACTGCTGGCCCGGCCCCCGCACCTTCCTGTCCAAGGATCTCTCACCCCACCTCAACGCAAACACCTGCAGGGGCACCCCAGCAGTCCCCTGACTCCACCAGGGGTCACCAGAGGCCTAGAGCCTGGGTGTTGGGCAAGGTCTTCCTACCGGCAGCCCTCCTCTCCTGGCCACTCCCTGTGAGGCGGCTCCTTCCCACCCCCCGGCCAAGGGCTGGTCTGCTGGCTGGCTGGGGGAGGGAGGCTGCGTGGGTGTCGCAGGGTAGGCCAGCCCTCTCATGGGGCTCCTCCCCGAGCAGGCCCTGCAGCCAGCGCCACAGACGCCTGAGCCCGGCAGCTCTGCCGTGGACGTCACGGGAGCCCTGACCTTGCCTGCCTCAGCCAGGACGGTGACCAGGCCCCCGGACCCCGAGACCGCTGCCCGGCCACAAGTCCTAGATGTCCCCGTTTGCTGCCAGCCCCTGAGGAAGCCACGTGCTCCCGGTGGCTGCACGCGGGTTCAGGGGAGACCCCGACTGCTGCTGGCCGGCTGGGCCTCAGGCAGAGGGGCCACTGCCCAACCGGCTGGCTCCCTGGGTGCGTGTGGAGGGTTCAGGCCGCGTGGGCTCGGCTGGCTCTGCAGCACCCCCTCCAGGCCACCCATCCCATCCTCCTGCCGGAGCCGGGGCCGAGGCAGGCGGCCAGGACGGCTGGGGAGGGTCCAGGCCATCCCCCTGCTGCCAAGATCCCGTTCTGGAGGTGCCCTGGCAGGTCCGCTCCCCAGCCCAGCCGGCAGTGCCCCTCGCGATGGGGGCTCCTGCTGCAGGGCTGGGGGAGGGAGGCAGAGTGGGGCCCCACCCGCCCTGGCACCCTGGGAGTATTTTTGTAGTAGCCACTGTTGCCGGAATGAATGACACAAGGCGGCCGCGTCACTGTTGCCAAAGAGCCGTCCTTTATTGTCGCTTTGGGGCAGCTGGTGATTGCTCCGCCCCGTCAGGTTCAGACCCTGCATCCCGGCTCTCCTTCCCCTCTGCTGGTTTTTTAAAGAGAAATCAAGCTAAGAAGGCCTCAGTGATCGGTGTGGTGGCTCTCGGGGTCTTGCGGGGGGCGAGGAGCCGTTCCCTGGCCCTGGCTGCCGCTCAGCCCAGATCTGGCCTGGGGGGGCAGGGTGAGGCGGGGACCCCTGGCCTCTGCTGCTCTTCCAGGCTCAGGGACGGAGGAGACACAGGGGCCTGTGCCGCGTGCATCCCGCCATGACCAGCAGTTGCAGCCTGACCTCCCCGAGCAGGTTAAGGGCGATGCCCCAGGCAGCCGTGCGGGAGACCTGGACGGAGCCCCACTTCTGACGCCCGCACTGGGGGCACGTGTAAGGGAATCCTGGTGAAGCGGGCCCCTCTGTCTTCAGCAAGGCCTGGTACCTGCAGCTGGTGGGTTTCCTGGAAGGTGGCGACTTTGACCGACCAAAGACTTGGGGGCCAGAGGGCACAGGGAGGGGTGTGGTGCACCGAGGTAGGTAGGCAGGACTGCAGTGGGCAGGACTTCACTTCAGATGGGGGCGTGGCTGCCCCACCGGCCCTGGCAGACGGATGGTAGCGGGCACAGGTGGGCACCATGGCTGACCTCGCTGGGGCGACGTGGTCTCCTTTCACCCTGGCGCTGCCACGGAGCAGCCTGGGTCCTGCCCAGGCCAGTCTTCATGTGGGGGTGGGGCCCAGAGGCTGCAGGTGCGGCGGGAGCCGTGGCCGACACAGCAGTCAGCTGAGGAGGGGCGCGGACCGGTCACGGGTGACTGTGGGCTTCAGCTGGACGCTGGCAAAGGGGTTTCTGCAAGGACAGAGGAGGGCAGCCTTAGCTCGAGGAGTGACCCACACAGTGGCCACTCTGCCCACGTGATCAGGGAGCACGGGCCGTGGCCACACCCCGGTCACCAAGAGGCACGCCCCAGCCAAGTGGGGAACGGGGACAGCCCGTGCAGGCCGTGTCCGTGTGGGAAGCCCCCACCAGGCCATGCGGGGACGTGTGGACGCGGCTCCGCTCGGCAGACACACCCTGGGAGCCCAGGCATGCAGGACAGACACGCGGCCCCTGGCTGCACGTGGTGACATGATGGCACACACACTGGCACACACAGGGTCCCTGCCCGCCTGCCAAGGGCTCAGCTGCTGTCCCCCAGGAACCAGGCCCTGCCATGTCCGGGGTCACACCTGATGCACAAGGACTTAGAGACAAGACGAGATGGCACGTGAAGGACATGGGGTGGGGCTCCCCGGCGGGGACCGCACAGGGCGGCAGACAGGGGCGAGGGGCAGCTCTGAGGACGGCCGCACAGGTGGCTGGCGGACACGGACGCGGGTGAAGCAGCCGTGCGTTACCTGTGGCAGGTGGCTGAGGGCGCCAGCAGGGCCCAGTGGGCAGCCAGGCTGCTCTCCCACGGGCCTGCCCGTGTGTGCTCCAAGAACCAAGACACCAGCTGCAGGCGCAGGACCCCATGAGGCTGGCTCAGGCCGGGCAGCAGTGTGCCCACGGGCCAGCTTCACAGCACAGGATACACCCCTTGACGCACAGACCAGCCGGGGCGGCCGGCAGCCACTTGGCCCAGGCCCTGCCCCGTCCCTGCTGTGGAGGTGAGGGTTAGGATGGAGCAGTGCACTGAGAGCCCACGGGGAGGCTGAGACTGGCCAAGTGGGTGCCAGGGCCCTACCGCCGGCCCACCTAGCCTGGGCCCCTAGGAGAAAGGCTGGAGGGTCTCCTGCTAGGGCCCACGCCCCCCCTTCCCCGCGTGCCGGAGGGGGCCGAGGCCACCACGGTGATGGGGGGTGTTCGGGGAGGTGGCTAGGATGCTATCAGGGCTCCCGGGCCTCGGGCAGCAGACCAGCAGGGACTGCAGCTAGAAGTGCAAGCTCTGCCACGGGAGGCGCGGGGGCGCCAGTGTGAGCCTCATGCCGGGCCAGCGGACAGCGGGCCTGAAGTCCAGCCCATGTGTCCTTTGGGGGAGAGCCGTGACAGGAACGCCACCCCTCCGGGCGATAAGGGGGAGTGCTGGCCGCCACGGTGTCTCCAGAACAGACGGAGCCATGCAGGGCAGCAGCCTGGGTGCCAGGGCTCTGGGCAGAGGGCCCATGCTGCGGGGGCCTGGCCACGGTCCTAGGCAGTAGTCAGGTGCCTTGGGCAATCACGGTGCCCACACACAGCGTGCAGGTACCACTGTCAACAGGGGCACTTGCTACACAACTCCAGGACTTAGGCTGCTCCCCTCTGCAGCCCTACAGTGCTAGAACGTAAACAAAGTGGGCTTGGCACTGCCCTGCCCACTGATGCCATGAGCCCTGCTCTCGGGGCCCTGAGCACAGCCAGGCTGGGCACAGCTCCCCCTGGCACCACCAGGCCAAGGCTGGGCACAGCTCCCCCCCACACCATTGTCAGGCAAGGCCTGGGAGAACCCAGGCCAAGGCCCCAGCAAGAATGCCAGCTCAGCCATGGCCCTGCTTCTAACTCCAGGCTCATGCTTCTACAGAACCATCTAGAAGTCACACTCCAGCTCTCCAAGTCAGAGCATGTGCCCAGGATGGAGGACAGCAGTGGTCACGAGTGAGGCGTGCCGACGCTTAGCGCCTGCTCTGGGGCATCTGCCCCATGTTGGGGTCAGACGGCAACAGAGCAGAGCGGCGCCGGTGCCCACGCGGCCGCAGGAGCCAAGGCCTGCCCTGCTTGGGGCTCACCTTATGACACCCACCACGCCGGTTCAGACCCGCCCCCCACACCCGGCAGCGCACGGCTGGGGCAGAGACTAGCTCCAGGTCACCCGTGACCATGGCAGAAGCAGCCCACAGGGGCAGGAGAGGCCAGCACCACACCCAGCACAGAAGGTCCGTGAGCCCAAGGAGGATGCCCAGAAAGAAGCCCAGAGCCCAGGACCCGACAGGCTAGGCTGACCCCCAGGCTGTGCCGGGCAGCCGGGCCCCTGCACTGAGCGTGGCTGCCCCGACCCAGGCCGGGGGTGCGGCACGCAGAAAGCAGGCCACTTACTACCTCCGGGCAGGGAGCTCAGAACCTGGCCACCTCCTCCTCGGCACTGCAAGGAAACACGGCACGCGGTTAGGGCTGCCCGTGGGCAGACGGGGCCTGGCTCCGGGGCCCTGGAAGGAGGCGCCGAACCCAACTCAGTGCGATAAATAAAACTTTTATTCAAACCGTCAATCGCAGCACAGGGCACAACTCAGGTTTTTAAAAAAGGAAAAGGAAAAACGATGGGGCGCACTGTCCATTTCCTAGTCTGCTGCGGGCACGTGCCATGCTCGGCGGCACGTGCCCGCAGCCCACGCACCCTGCCTGGCCATGGCAGAAACGGCAGTGGCCCCTGCTCGCTGCCCACGGGGCGCCCTGGGCTGCAGGGCCGCGCCGGCCAGGCTGGGACAAGACAGCCACGAGCCACCATGTCCACGCGCACAGGGCACAGGAGCCACCGAGGCAGGGGCCGCCCGCTCCCTGGGCCCTAAGACACTGTCTGTGCCACGCATGACTGCCTACCCGGCAGGGCTGGGCAAACACATGGCTCCTGGCCAGCGTGGGGTCTGGGAAGACCCAGAGGGGCCCCTGTGCCAGTGCCCACTGCCCCGGCAGTCCTGGTGGAGCCATCGGGGCCAGCCCCCCCCCGCGTGGCTCTCCCCGCTTGGCCTCTGGCTGGGGCGGCGTCAGAAGCAGGCTCACACACACCAGGAGGCCATGCAGAGTTGGTGTTTTCAGGAAAAAAAACTCCTTTTCCTCCCCTTTTTTTTGAGCAGGAGAGGGAGGAGAAGTTTTTTATTTTCTTCAAATCCAAGGCCAGCTCGCGGCCTCGGGGACGGCGCGGCAATGGCAGGCGGCCGAGGCCTGGCGTGCGGGGGCGCCGGGTGCGGGCGGCAGCACCATGGACCCTGGGGCAGAGTCTGGGGTAACAACCAAAAGGCGGGGGCGGGGCAGGTGGAGAAGAAACACCCCAAGAACAAGTCGACGAGAGGGAAAGCGCTGGAGACCGTGCGGGGCGGAAGAGCTCGGGGCCGCAGCTGCCCGCCGTCACACCGTGGACACGAGTGTGCCACTGCCACTGCGGAACAAAGCACAGGGCCGTGCCAGCTGCCGGGGCCGCCCGTGCCTCCGGACCCAGACCTGGTGCCCCCACTGCGGTGCCCAAGGCGAGTCGGAGACCCTTACCTGCTCACGGACCGCGCCCCGTAGTCATCCAGACCCTATGGCAAAGACAGAACAAATCAGTGTGGGGGGCTGCCCGCAGCCCTGCCTCAGCCGCAGCCCTCACACCTCAGCCCTGCCTCAGCCGCAGCCCTCACACCTCAGCCCTGCCTCAGCCGCAGCCCTCACACCTCAGCCCTGCCTTAGCCGCAGCCCTCACACCTCAGCCCTGCCTCAGCCGCAGCCCTCACACCTCGGCCCTGCCTCAGCCGCAGCCCTGCCTCAGCCGCAGCCCTCACACCTCAGCCCTGCCTCAGCCGCAGCCCTCACACCTCAGCCCTGCCTCACACCTGCAAGGGGTGGTCCTGCCCCTTTGGGATCCAAATGAGGTTCCCAAGGAGGTGTCCCTCACCTCCCCTACATCTTTGCCCACTGCCCTCCTGTGTGGCCGCTAGGTGAGAGGCAGCAGGCTTGGCTAGGTGGCCCCCAGCCAGCCCTCAGTAGCCCTGCACGCAGGGCGCCCCAGGGGCATGGCGTGCTGCCTGGGTCCCTGTCAGGCCCTGCATGCTTGTCTGCCACAGCTTTATCTTCTACAAAAGATAAACAAAAGTGAGCCCAAGCCTGGCCACACTTGCAGCCCCTCAGCCTGCCCACACTGCCCATGCTGCTGCCTGGCACCCGGGCCAGCCAAGCCTTCCTCACAGGACCCAGAAAGCTGCTGGGGGCCCTCGGGTGCTGAGCACACGCCATGGGGTTCCCTAGGCTGTCCACCCACATGGTGGGCCCTTCTCTCCTGCTGCCTGCCTTGGCCCAGCCAGGAACAAAGCCACTGGCCTGCCCTGGTCCTAGGGCCGGGTGGATGAACCCCTGTAAGCTGTAGAGGGGCCCCATGGGCCAGCCTTTCCACTCCTGCTGGCCCAGCCAGCACTGAGGCCAGCAGTCCAGGCCCTTGGCCCTGCACAGAGCTGCAGGACCAGGTGCCAGCCACCACCTGGGCACCTGAGCCACCTCGTGGATGGATGGGGAGCTGCACAGTCCTCAGCCAAGGAGCCGCAGAAAAAGCTCCTGGCTCCTGGCTTCGGCTCAGCCCAGCTCTGGCCACTGTGGCCATCTGGGTAGGGATCCAGCAACGGACACCTCTCTCACTCTCAGCCTTTCACTTAAATAAATTAATCTTGGGGAAAAAAGCAAGAGACTCCATCTCCTCCCTCCGCCCCGCCCTGTGTGGGCACCTACCTGGGAGAAGGCTGGCATGGCCACGCTGTAGGGCCTCTGCTTGAAGGTGCCGGCTGGCTGCGCGGGGAAGGCCCGGGCCGACGTGCCGTAGTCAGGGGGCGGGAGCGCCAGGTCCTCCTTGTCCAGTAGGTTGCCCGTGCTGCTGCTCTTGCCTTGGTGCAGGCTGCAAGACGTGGTGCTCAGAGCGCCCACCCGGCCAGGGCACCGGCACCTGCCTGCCCCAGGCTGCAGCGTGGCCACCCGCCAGGCCCGGACATGCAGACGAGGGACAGGGCAGGCAGGAGGGGCCGGGTCCTCTGAGCTCTGGGTCCCAGCCTCTGGGTTCTTCCCCACCCGGCCCCTTTCACTGCCCCCTGGGTCCTGGGGGTGCAGCCAGCTCACCTCATGTGCAGCCTGTCGCTGGCATCGCTGTCCAGGACCCGCGTGTAGGAGAAAGGGAACCAGCCCCGCCTGCCGCAGAGAGGCGTCGTGAGGGCCAGGTGTGGGGGAGCAGCCCTGGGGGGCCTGGCTGCCCCTGCCCCCCCGGGGAAGGACACAGCTCCTGGGGGGCCTGGCTGCCCCTGCCCCCCCGGGAAGGACACAGCTCCTGGCTGGTACTCACATCTTGGTCTTCTCACTCTCGCCGTAGTGCCAGCCGTCGCGGGCCTCGGGCACCAGCAGGGTGATGAGGTCGCCCTCCTTGAAGCTCAGCAGCGTGCTGTTGTCGCCGGCCGCGTGGGAGAAGATGGCCTTCACCCGTGTGCGGCCGTTGCGCTCCAGGCCGGCGGCCATGGAGCTGGAGCGGGGCAGAGTCTTGTTCTCAGCTGTGGGGACAGCGTGGGCAGCTGTGGGCCCGGGGAAGCGCTGCACGCACGTGAATGCGGGGCTGACCGCACGCGGAAGGGTCTACCCCCTCAAAGATGGAGCAGCCAGCTCATGGGGCCCAAAGGTGCCGCTGCCCAGTCGCCAGGGACTGAAAGCGTGGGAGGCAGGGCTGAGGCCCTGGGGGCAATGCTGTGCACACTCGTGTGGGCACACCCATCCTCAGTGTAACAGCACAGCGCAGACACATCTGTTCACACTTCCCTGCCCAAGGCCCCCCATGGGCACACACGTGCACACAGCATGTCCCCCCCAGCGCCGCGGGGGCCTTACCGGTGGCATAGCTGTTTCTGGGGGTGACACTCTTGCGCACGGGGAGTGTGTTGGAGTAGGAGTCGCTGAGCTTGCCCTGTGACTGTGGCGGGGACAGGGACTTGGGCTGGGTGGCCTTGCGGTCAGCCCAGGGGTGGTAGTCCTCGCTCTCTGGGCCGGAGACGCCGTTCAGGACGGGCGCGCTCTCCTGGGCTGACATCCGCTGCGGGGAGGCAGGCGCCACATCGCTGGGGACCTGGGTGCGAGGCCAGCCCGGCCCCCCAACCCTCGGCAGGGGGCCTGCTGCCGGACGCCCGCCCCCACACCTGGGGTGCCCGGAGGCCAGGGACTCACCCCCACGAAGGGCGCCAGCTCGGGGGGCACAGGCAGAGGCTTGGCCCCCGGGATGGGGTCCGAGATGACCAGGCTGGACTTGGAGGCCGACAGGGCGCTGGGCAGCACGGAGCCGTTACTGCTGGCTATCTGCTGCATCAGCTGCACCGCGCGCTCCGGGATCTTGTTGGGGTCGGCACAGGCTTGCTGCCAGACTGGAAGCTTCTGAGCCAGCAGCTCCTTTCCCTGCGGTGGAGCCATGGGACGGAGAGGCGGTCAGGGAGGTGGGCAAGGCTGGGGGTCTCTCTCCTGATCCACGGGGAGCCCCTGGGGCTAATCCGGAGCTCGGCCTGCCCAGCCGCTGGGGGAGGGCTCGACCCCACACGCAGCCGGGTGGGGTCCCCTGCAGAAGCAGTCCGCCACGGGCGGAGCCTGCAGTAGAGACAGAAGGCAGCACACTGCAAGGGGCAGGCAGGACCTGGGGCCTACCCTGGCACGCCTCCAGTGGCCAGAGTGCCTGGCGCTGCCTGCGGGCTCACCACGGCCACCAGGTGGGCACAGGGTGAGGCCCAGCCGGGCTCAGGAACCTGGGTGAGCTGACTGGTCTGCACGAGGGTCCTGCACCTGCTGCAGGCACCAGCCAGATGCCAGGGAGCCGGACACCTGTCCTCCTGGCCACTCGGGCTGCAAAGTGTGCGCGGCCGTGGCCCCTGCAGGCCGAGGCAGCCCACCCCTCAGGGCCTCTCCTGCCCACCTGCCTGTGGAAGCGTGGGTGATGTGGGTTGGCAGACACTTGGATAAAGGGTCTCCGTCCCTCCACCCCAGGGGTCAGCAACTCAGAGTGCGGGATCTGCCCCTTCCTGCTTCCCAACAGTCCCATGAGCCGCTCCCACGTGGCGAGGACTGGGGAGGCTGCTGTGGAGACACCTGCTGAGACCCGGCATGGGTGACCTGGGTATCTCAGACTGGAGGCAAGAGCCAGAGTCAGGGGCCCAGCTCCAGGGCCACGCTGAGGCCAGCACCCACCCGAGGCAGTCCCTACTGCCACCAGGCCGCCACAGGAAGGAGCAGTGTCTAGCGGTGACCACCAGGGGGCAGACGCGGCCCACACCAGAGCCTCCACCGAGCTGGCAGGAGCTGCGGGCAGCCGGGCCAGGGGCCTGGTCTGAGCCTGATGGAGATGTGCCCCCTCCATGCCCGCAGGTACAATGGGCGTCGGGAGTCCCTAGGAGACACACCTGTCACCCCTGCTAGCTCTCCTCTGCCTGCCACCGCAGGCCAGGGGCACAGGGAGGCTGTGGCTGGCCGTGGTCCCACTGAGCTGCAGCCAGGAACCTGCCCCCAGCAAGCAGGTGTTTCCAGCAGTGAGAGCAGAGGGGAGGGGAGTGGGGGGTAGGGCTGTGCCCCGGGGAACACAGGTGCACCTGCCCCAGCCAGGGAGCAGGCTTGGGCAAGTCCAGGAGCCGCTCAGGGAGGGCGGGGGAGGGGCAGCGCGTGTGTGGGCGCGTGTGAGCCGGAGAGGCAGGCGTCGGCGTGTTCTGTGTCCCGAGAACTCCCCCGCGGAAGCCGCACACACTGTGGCCTCCTGGGCCACCCCACTGCCACTCAGATCCACTATGCCTGGGAAAGGTTCCAGAGTGTTCTAGGGGGCCCTCTCCAGTCCAGCCTCCTCCAGTCCTGGTGTGCAGGGAACGGGGCCCAATGAGCTGCCCGTACCCAGCACAGGGGAGAGCCTGGGCCTGGCCCGCCCCGGCCTAAAGGGGCACAGAGCCCCCTCTTCAGCAGGCTCTGAGCTCAGACCCCCCGCCCCCACAGAGGGTGAGATTCCTTCACGGCTGGGCGGGTCCTGGGACTGGTGACGGGCGAGGGGGAGCACAGGCCCCCCCCAAGGGGTCAGGAAACAGCCGAGGGTGCCCGTGGCGCCCAGGGAAAGAGCGGAGAAGGCCTGGTGGACAGCCTGGGCAGAGCAGAGGCCCGAGGGAACGGGGGCTGCCGTCTCTGGACAGGCAAGGGTCTGCTCCTCTGAATGCAGTCCTGCGTGGCTGGGCCAGGGCCGAGGAACGACCAGGAGCCCGCTGCACGCCGCCCTCGCCTGCAGCCCCCGGGCACCACGCACCTTGGAGTGGTAGGCGGCTGAGTTCTTGGCCACAGCACACTGCTTCTCCACCAGGAAGCAGAAACGCCGGCGCTCCTCGGTGAGTGCGGTCTTGTAGCCGTCCGACACGTAGCTCTCCAGCTCGCCCTGCTTGTTGCTGATGGCGTCGATGTACTGGGGGAGGGAGGAGGGGGGAGGGGGAGGGGGGGCTCAGCTCCACTCCCAGCGCCCCAGGGACCCCGAGAGCGGCGAGCAGGGCCGTACCCCACGGCCGCCCACCGCCGAGATCTGTCTGCCCGCTGTGGCCGAGGGTTCCAGGCAGGTGGACAGGGCCTGCCCCTGGTAGGCTGCAGGCCAGCGGCCCTCCTGAGCCAGGCACAGCGACTGCAGCCACTCATCACGGAGGCGGGAGATGGGCAGGCATAGCGTGCCCCCCACAGCGCGGGCAGGAGGGACACAAGGCTGGCCGTCGGCAGCTAAGGCTCTGCACCTGCCACGAGGCAGGCCTCAGCCTGGCCCCCGTTCTGAGCAGCCCAGACACAGCACTGCTGGAAACAACCCTGGTCTGGCAGGGCACAGCACAGGACTGGCAGCAGAGTGGGGCGCTCCCCACGTGCCCACCTGCCAGCCCCTCCTCCCATCCTGGCCTGGGAAGGAAGCTAAGGTGGAGGAGATGTGAGGGCTGCGGCAGGCTGAGGACCCTCCACTGGCTCGTGCATTTACTGCTCGTTGGGGCTGAGTCTCCGGTGGGGGTCACCGGTTTGAGTCTCAGCTCACCTTGTGTGTCGGTGAAGCCACAGGATCCCCATCACGCGTGCAGCAGACTCGGTTCAGGGCTGTGCCATTAGCCAAGGCAGCCCCAGCACTGGGGGCATCTGGGCAGCAAAGCCAGCAGAAGACCCCCCGAAAACCAGCTCGAGCAACCCCGACTGAGTGGTCACTATGGGACAAGCGGATGAAGCCGGATCCGGGGAGGGGCCACGCAGAGGGGCAGGTCAGGCGTGGGCAACCATCACCACGCACACAGGCTCCAGGACTCCCTGTCACCTTGGGGACTGGGGTGGCTGGGAGGCTCCACGGTCACAGGCATGACCAGGCCGCAGGGCAGACGCCCCAGGCCCCATCTCCAGCTGGTGCCCTGAGTCGGGCACACACCCCCCCGTCATTTGCAGAGTCCTTGGGGAGATGGGGCCTCCAGCAGGGCACAGGCCCGGCTCTGACTCACACTGCACCTCCAGCTGAGTTGGCGTGGGTGAGTGGCGCCCACAGAAGGAAGGGGGAGGGGAGCGGGCTGTTCCTGGGTGCCACCCACCCCGGGTGCCACCCACCCCAGGCTCAGCAGTGCAACAGGTTCCCAGCGCTGCCTCCAGGATGCTGGCTCTGCTTCCAGCTTGCTGAGCCAGCCAGGCCTTGCCCAAGACCACGGGCACCCCAGGGTCTGTGCCTGGTGGCCCCTCTCTCCCTAGCACGCCCCATCTCTTCACAGGCTCCGTTCCCACCCCACCAAGGCCACGGCCCCCACGGGCAGCCAGTTAGTGGTTCTTGGAGACGACCTGGGCTGGCACCTGCCAGCCTTGGGGTCCCCCTTCGGTCCCCATTCCGGGTGGCCCTGAGTCCTTTGTATCTGGTCACACACCTGCGCCCACGGGGCCACCTTGCCGCTGGGATCCCTCTCCCCACTGGCTTCAGCACGGTGCATGCACAGGACCCCTCCCCACCTTCAGGCTGAGAGGGCATGGGGGTACAGGCCCATCCCCTAAGGCCACAGCAAGCCCGGCCTGCGCCTGCCCGGAGGACCCTGCACCCCGACTCCTCCTCACATGGCTTCCCTGAGCAGCAACTCGGGGCCACATGAGGCTCCCGGGGGCTGGACAGGCCCAGTCCACTCCAGCTCTGGGTCCCTACGCCCTGCCCAGGCGCGAAGGGCGGCCTGGGACGCTGACCAATGATGCCCAGGCACCCATCACCTAAACGGGTTTTGCTGAACACGCCGCTCGGCATGGCGGCAGGGCCACGGGCATAAACCAGGACACAGGCCCCTGGGGGCTCCCGGCACGGCAAGGACAGTGCCTCCCGAGCGTTTCTGGGTTTGTAGGCTGCGGTGTTTCCCGAGTGGCGCGCTCCCTGGAGGCCGGCCCGGTGCTGGCCTCATTCCTGGGGCTGCTGCTCCCTTTTTCAGTCTCCACCCGCTGGGGAGGCGAGGGGCGTGTGCTCTGGGCGTGCCCAGCGGCCCCACGGCTCCCACAGTGGGCCTGGTCCACCAACTCCTGTCACCACACGGGCGCACTCCTGCTGGGCGGGACCCCTGCCACTGGGGGGGGGCATGCTGCAAGCCTCAGCTGCCACTACAGCCTCGCGGTGGCCATGGCGATGGCACGGGCCGTCCCTGCTCTGCCTGCTGCCTCCGCTGCTCCTTGCTCTGCTGGGTGCCATGGCGACGCGCCGCCGTGCTCCCACTTAGCCACCCCAGCTCTCAGCCCTGTAATCCGAGAAGACAAAAGTGCTGAGAACCGGCCTCTCCTTCGCGCCCAGCCAGCCTGTGACTCAGAGAGGGGGTGGGGCGTTCTAGAACAAACCGCCCCCTCGGAGATGGCTGCTGCAGCTTTCCCAGGCTCCTCAATCCCAGGGAGGGCGCCGAGGCTCAGCAGTCAGCACGGGGTGCCAGCGGCCACTCCCTGCAACCGGGGACCAACAGCACAACGGCCAACCAGCTGCGGTGGCCTCCAGACCCCTGCCATCGGCTGCGAGGCTGGCGTGGGCAGGCTGTGGCCCAACACTGGGGTACAGAGCTGGGAGTGGACACCCCATGCCACGGGCAGTGCTGAAGTGAATGCGAGGGGACGTCTAAGGACCCTCGGGGCTGCAGTGGTGACAGACCCCTCTTCTGTTACAGCCACTGCAGACTGAGCAGTTCCGAGGACAAGCGACACCTGATGTGTCACCACAGAGCAGGGAAGTGCAGCGCCCTGCCTGGGTCAGCAGCCCAGCGCTCCCAGTGTGGCCGGGCTGGCTGTGAGAGGCCCACTCTGCTTGCCCACCTCCGCCCACACGCCCTTGGCACCCACTGCCCACCCATGTCCACGCACATGGCCGAGGCGAGGCCCAGCTGCTCTCATGATGGCCCCGCCTGTGGGCAGGGCAGGTGGTGCAAGGCTGGAGACGTGGCCTCACGTGTGCCAAGGTGCCCCGTCCGGCCCAGGCAGGGACCTGAGCTCTGAGGAACCCAAGTGGGCAACAAGTCCATGGCTGGTGCTCAGGTGCCCAGCTGCCCCTCAAGGCAACATGCTCTACCCAAAAGGGCACTTCCTTTGTACCCATCCTGGCTTCTGCCTGCTACTGTCCACACCCTCCGCCCCTGGGGAGCTGGATGGGACCTACAGCCACCTTGAGGGGCACACTGTCCTGCACCTGCCTCTCCAGCTGCAGACACGCACGCTGGCTCTGCTCCGATCCTGGGAGGAGTGAGGGCTCAAACGGTGGGGGACCCCAGGCCTGGCTGCGGGCTCCCGGCCTGGCCCAGTCCTCACTGACGGAAGCTTCCTCTGTCCCTCACACACCCTCTGTGTCCTTGCGGGCACCCAGCAGCTCCGTCCCCTGACCTACAACTAAAATTAATTCTTCCTGGAAACCCCAAAGCCCAGAGTCAATTACAAGTGGGCCTGGAGAGCAGCGGGCTCCTGGGCAGGGGGCACGCGCCTGGTCCCCCCTGCTTGGGGCGGGGTCATCCGTGGGCACTGTGGGTGGAACCCCGTCTGTCCTCAGTCCTGCAGGGGTGAGGCTCCCTGGGGACCACAGCACCAGGGCTCTGCTACAGCCGTGGCAAGACTTCCTGCCAGTTCCCAGCCCAATTCCCACAGCTCCAGGCTGGGGCACAGTGGCTGAAGCTGGGGAAGGGGTGGGGCTGAGTGGGGGTTAAGGCTGTGTAGCCGTCAGTTCTGGGGGCAAAGCCCCCGGGGCGCCACAGGAAGGCACGGGGGGACAAGTGCTCGTCGGAGCCTGCATTGCCTGTTCCCGTCCAGGAAGGCTGAAGGGGGCCTGGGCACTGCGTGCTCTCGTCACCGCTGCCCCCAGCAAGCCAGTCTTTGGCACAGCTTGAGGTCAGCCTCCTCCCGCTCTGGCCCACTTGGGCCAGAGGGATCCCCAGGAGGGATGTGTGGGCTCAGTGTGGCCCCGGTGTGCGGATGGGAGCAAGGGGAGTCCTCAGGCCGAGTGAGGTCTTGGGTCCTTGGCTCCGTGCGCCCTGCCCGGCTCCCCACCTCTTCTTCCTGGCAGCCCAGGAAGAAGCTCAGAGCGGCCAGGTGGACATGGGGCTCCGTGGGACAGTACAAGCCATGCCCGAACACCCCCTGCTGCACGCTATGGAGAGTCCTGCCGGCCAGCTGGGACTCCATGGAAGAGGTGAGCGTCCTGTGCAGGCCAGGCCCAGCAGGCGGCTTCCGCAACCGAGACCATAGCTGGCTAGCCTAGCTGGCTTGAAGGGGCCCGCTGTGCCCACCTGCTCAGGGTGCAGAAGGCGCCAGCTACGGTAACAGTGCCCCCAGCTGGCCCGGTGGCCAGGGGACCCCACCCCCTGCCCAGGACAACAGCTTACGTCACAGCGCTGTTCCCACAAACCCAGAGGAGGCAGCGAGGGAGTCTATGGCCCTGGGGCCAACACAGCGGCCCCGACACTGCTGCCTGCTCCAGGAGCACACCCAGAATCAGGCACCCTCTCTCGCCAGGGGCACACAGGAGCCAGCCCTTCCTGAAGGGTCACCTGGGAAGGGACACCACTGCTGAACCCCGCACTCATGGGTCACGTACTGGCCCCCAAAGGCTGCTCACAGTTGGTGTTCACCACTCCTGGCCGCCTGAAGCCAATTCTGCATTAACATGCGCTCTGGGGCCCCTGCCTGCCTGAGGGACAGGGGTCTCCCGTGGAAGAGGCGTCCACAGCACTAGGGTGACCCCAATTGAAAGCTTCCGTTGCCCAGGCCATGGCCTGGAGGTGGCCCACCTTTGGGTCAATGAGCCCAGGGCCTGCCGAGGGGCTGCAGGTGCCAGGGCAGCCCGCGGGCAGCACAGGTGCAGCTGCCTCAGGCTCCTGGGGTATCAACCCTGCAGGGCCTGGTTCACAGCACACGGCCCCCTCCCACGCCCAGCACGGGGACAGCTGGGAGCAGGGCGGGAGGCACGTGGTTAGGGCTCCCTGGAGAGAGGAGCGCCAGCGGTGGTGGGCAGAGCAGGGGGTGCCAGGCTCAAGTTGTGGCCTGAACACCACTGCCCAAGTCCAAGGCCTGTCTCCTCACCCTGGCCCTGCCCTGACGTTGGGAACCCACCAACTCAGCTGATGGTTCCTCACTGGGGTGGTGGTCAGCAAGCGTGGCCACACAGCAAGGCCCGTCGACTCGAGCCTGACCCGAACCCCACAGTGCCCCACCCGGCCAGTGCTGCACTGTCCAGTCACGAGGGGTCTTCACGGCTAGGGCTGGCAGAGTGGCACAGCACATGAAGCCACTGACTGAGATGCCAGCACCCCTAAGGGCCAGTTGGAGTCCCAGCTGCTCCCCTTTCCACCCAGCTCCTTGCAAGTGCGCCTGGGAGAGCGGAGGTGACCCATGTGCCTGGGCAAACACTTGCACGGGAGATGTGGCACCAGTGGCTCCCTGGCTGCAGCTGGCTCAGCCCTGGTCACTGTGACCATTTCTGGAAAGAACCAGAGATACGAGATCTCCATCTCTCTGTAACTCTTTCAAATAAATAAAATAAAAATCTATTTAACAAGGGGACACGCCACAACCCAGGACACCACGTGGAAGAACACGTTTCCACACGGAACACGCCAGGCACGCGAGAACACCGCTATCTGCGGAGCCACACGCCGCACACGCTGCTCTCCAGTGCTGCCACGTCGCAGGTATGGCAGACACGGGTCGAGGGGTGGCTGTCACACACGGGACATCAGTACACCTGAACACAGCCCAAGTAGGAACATCCCTAACGCCACCCACAGGTCACTGTCGCAGCCACTGCGGCCCCAGGTGCAAGTGCCTTGGGTCATAGGTCACATGGGGGGCCCTGGAGGAACCGTCTGGCCTCACCACGCTCACACCCGGCTGCCCTCACCCCTCCTGCGCACACCCGGCTGCCCTCACCCCTCCTGCGCACACCCGGCTGCCCTCACCCCTCCTGCGCACACCCGGCTGCCCTCACCCCTCCTGCGCACACCCGGCTGCCCTCACCCCTCCTGTGCACACCTGGCATGTGGCAGCTCAAACACGGCAACGGGGGCGCTGGGCAAAGCTGCCCTGCCCCCGATGCGACAGTGAGTGGGGCCTGCAGTGGTCCTGGGCGTGGTGACAGTAACCCCAGGCCAGCCCTTCCACAAGCGGTCTCGGCCCCCCAGCCCAGAGCCTTCCAGCGCCTGGCAGAGGCTCCGCTCAGCAGCCTGTGCGGTGCCCTACCTGCAGCTCCTTGTCCGAGTACTTCTGCGGGTTCTTGCTGCCCTGGCTCTTCTTGCGCAGCTTCTTCAGCTCGGCCTGGCACTTGTCCAGCGCGTCCCCGCGGCTCCTCTGCTCCGTCTGGTACTTCTTCAACGCAGCCTGGCGCCGAGAGCAGCGGGCAGGGGGTGAACTGCCACGCCGTCCCCGGGCTCCCGCCTCAGCAGGCCAAGGCCCAGCCCTGCCCCCGGATGCCCCGCCAGACCCCCAGGGCTCGTGCGCCCACACAGCCTCAGTCCCAGGCCTTCTTGCCAGCGGCCGGGACAAGGACGGGCCGAGGGACCACGACAGGTGCCCCCACTCAAGGCACACGGGCCCCAGCGTGAGGGACTTGGGTCCACAGCTGCGGGCCCACGCAGGCGGGACTTGGAGGGAGCTGAAAGCCCCCGTGACTGAGGGGAAGACATGGTGGCGGGGCGGCAGGCCGCGGTGGCCGCCGGCCGCAGGGCAGGGGTACTTACGCTCAGGTACCTGGAGTCCAGTTCCACCTTCTGCTCCAGCTGTGTGAGCAGCTCGTTGTGGAAAGACTTCAGCTGCACACGGAGAGAGCAGGGGTCAGCCCCGAGGCCCGGGGCAGGCAGAGGCCACTACGCAGCGCCACGGGCTCTGGCAGGGGGCGTGAAAGAGGAGCTGCCCGTGGAGCACCCTGCCCAGCTGCCAGGTGCGCGTCAGCATGGGACGCAAGTGCTGGGTGCTGCGTGAGCCTGGCCTGCCAACAGGCTTCGTTCCTCACAGGGGACAGAAACAGCCGCCCACCGTCCTTCCCATACTGGCCCATGCTGGGGTCACTGGGACAGCTTCCCTGGGAGAGACCTCTGTGAGCCCTCAGGCCAGGATGTGTTTTGGGGGGACACCCTTTGGGCCGGCTGTCCCCAGGTAACAGTCGGGAAAGCGGGAGCGAGAAGAAGCCAGTCGGCAGGAGCTGGTTGGACCCACCCCGCCTGGCCCGCCCTCGGGGGCGGCTGACCGGACCCTCTCCGCCTGCCCAGCTGCTTCCCTGGGGCACGACTCACCATCTCCTCCAGCTGGTTCTGGATCTGCCGGTGCACCTCGGCCATCTGGAAGAGAACGTCCCCTGGGCAGGGGGAGAGGGGCCACGTCACCCGTGCTCACGCCTGCCATCCGACAAAACCAAGGGGCCACGTGGGAAGGCAAGGAGATACCACGACACTCGAGAACACCCAGGACCCCAGAGCCCCGGCACGGATGCCTGCTGCTGAGTGGGCACAGTCTCTAGGGCAAGCCTCACACTCAGCTCGCAGACCTGCCAGGGGAGGGTCCCAGAGGGAGCGGGATGCAGGTTCCAGACCCCACGGGTGATGGCATCCTGGAGTGCAGGCACCTGGCCCAGCACTGTGCACAGGTCCTGCCATGCAGCCCTGGGGGGTGGACTCCCCTAGGCTAGCGGCGCTGCCCATTGAGGAGGGCCCAGATCCAGGCTCTTGGCTGTCAAATATTTGCTGAGCAGCCTCCACAGGGCGGGTGCTGAGCTACCCTGCCTGGGCCCAGGGCAGTTGCTGTCCCCGTTCTGCGCACGCTGGGGCTGTGGCGGGGTCTTCCTGAGTGGGGAGCAGGCAGGGTAGTGCCTGACGTGGCCGTGCTGCCCAGTGCAGCTGGCTGGAAAGCAGAAGCCAGCAAGACTGTCTGGCCCAGATCTGCCTCCCCTGGATGCCGGGGTGCTGGCTGGGTCCTGGGCAGGCCCCGGCAGGGGTGGAGACCACAAGGACACCCAGGTACAACCACAGGACCAGTTACTGAGTAGAGCCCTTGCAGGCCCAGCTCTGCTGGCCAGTCCACACCCCTGCAAGGCCCAGAACTTCCTTCGGGCAGGACATGTAGGCAGCGCCAGCAGCTGCCCAGTCTGCTCAGATACCACCTGAACACTGGGGTGACCTGGAGCTGGGACAGGCAGGTGAGGGACAGGGCTGGCACCCCACTGCCATCTGTACCCAGGTTTGAGGGGCTGAGGGAAGGGGTCCGGGTCCCTGGCTGGGCAAGGACAGTGGGTGCTCAGCACCTGCCAGGGGACGCTGGAACCTCAGGAGATGCAGAGGCCCTGCGGCTGGCCCGGGGGATGCAGAGGCTGGCCCGGGGGATGCAGAGGCTGGCCCAGGGGAGGGCCCCTTGTGGCTCTTGCCTTGGGCACCAGGAAGTGCCCGGCTGGGGCTCCCAGGACAGCCACGAGTTGGCCTCGTCCACGACAGGGGAAGCAGCTCTGTCCTCCCCTCCCAACGTCCACACGGGCTCGCTGCTCACCTACCCTGCAATGGGGGGCATTTCAGGGTCCCAGTGACGTCAGGGAGGCCAGCAGTTCCGCCCACCACCCCAGACCTGCGCCCCCAATGTCATGGTCACGCTGCCCCCACATGCTCCACACAGAACACACTGAGGCCTGGCTGAAAACGCATGGAGGCTTCCACCCGTGAAACTCTGGGCAGGGCTGGCGATCACCCCTGCCTGCCCGGAGCCCTGAGCGTGTGCGTACCATGCAGGAAGCATGTGGTGGCTGCAGCTGCCAAGGCTGCGGGGGGGCCTGGGACTGCACCCCAGCTCCACTTCTAACCCAGCTTTCTGGGAACAGCAGCGATGGCCCTGGCTGTGGGAGTCTTCAGGCACGCAGCCCAGCATCCCTGATGCCCACATGAAAATAAACACAGACCTGGTGTCTAGTCCAGCTAATCCAGGGGCATGGCTCCTGCAGGAGGCCACCCTGGGACCATGCCAGGGCTGTAGGGGCATGGCTCCTGCAGGGGGCCGCCCTGGGACCATGCCAGGGCTGTAGGGCACAGCCGTGACACACCCAGGCAGTGCAGGTGGACCTGTGTGGGGAGTCCTCGCCACGGGTCAGCAAGGGGTGGGCGCGACACACCCTGGCACGCCCAGGGCTGAGTCAGGGGCCGGGCAGCAGCCCAGGGAGGGTCTTTCCTGGGGAACGGGACACCAGGTGTCCCTGGGATGAGTCAGGAGGCCACAGAAAGGTCACTGGGAGGAACCTAGGCGGCCCCTGCTCGACCCCAGTTCTGGAGACTTCTCTCCTCTGGGTGATGTCCCTGGGCCTCCCAGGGAAGCTGCAGTGGCCAGGGCAGGATGGGCACACACACAGGACAGCACAGTGCAGTTACCAACACCCTTGCCTCATGACCAGCCCAGACAGGAGCCAGCATCCTGCCGCACACTTTGGGGAGACCAATGGGATGTTGGTCACTGCAGGGTCCAGCAAGGACAGAAGGCTGGGCCCCAACTGGCACAGGCCGAGTGGGCCTGTCTACCCTCTCCTCCTTGGCTCCAAGGTGCAGGATGGAAGCCCAAGGGCTCTTAGTAGACCTGTGGCACCTGCTTGGGTCCGATGGTGCTCCTGCACAGAGCCTACGCACACGGCTGGCTGCAGCCACCCTGACAGCCACCTGCCTCCCACAGCCCTCCCGGGCAGCTCCATCCAGCCTGGGGGACACGCAGGAGGCCCAGAGCCGAGCCGGAAGCAGGTTCACAGCCCCATCTGCCTCCTCCCTCTTCTCTCCTCTTCCCCAGGACACTCCCACCTGTGTCAGCCACTTCCCCTCCTCCAGGGCCTGCCCAGCTGCCACCGGGCTCCCGCCTGTACAGACAGGGAGACCCGTGGTGAGGGTCTCCTCTCCAAGCCTCCCACTCCCCCTGCACACAGGTCCCAGCCCCCACTCCAGGCGTGGGCAGCAGGAGCTCCTCTTGGACCCAAGAGCAAAGCGTCCACATCACAGCACTGGTTCAAGTCCTGGCTGTGCCACTTCCCCTCCAGCTCCCTGCTGAGGGCCTGGAAAGCAGCGGAGGACTGCCCGGGGGCTGGCCCTGCACCCACATGGGAGACGCACTGAAGCTTCTGGCTTTCCTGTGCCCTCTCCTGCTCAGGCACTGGCCTGGGGGTTGGAGCAGCTGGATGCTTGTGACCCACTGCGCCCTCCCTGCCCTGGGCTGGCCCCTCCCCAGCAGCCTGGCTGACCCAGCGCAGCCCCCAGTTCCGTGGAGCCAGTGGCAGCAGCCTCTTCCGGCCCTGGCCACTCCCCAACTCTTCCTCAGGGTTTTTGAAGGATTTATTCTTCTAAAAGTTGGGGGACAGAGTCTGGACACTGTCCATCTCTGAGTCCATTCCCCAGCGGCCCGGTGAAGCTGAGGCCAGGAGCTCTGACCCAGGGACGCAGCCACTCGAGCCTTCCTCTGGGGCTTCCTTCCCAGGCCGCTTCGTGGCAGCCTAGCCCACAGTACCACCTGCTCCTCCCGCTGCAGGCTCCAGACACACTCTCAACACCAGAGGCCCCAGTGAGCCCCTTGGTGCCTAGCAGGGGTTCCCGGGCAGCCCGGGCATGCCTGCCACCTGGGAGCGGAAGCAGGTATAGGGTGAGAGCTTCAGGCAGCGCACAGGAGGCAGCAGGCAGGGCCGACACGCACTCCAGGCAGGCCTACTCGGTCAGCGCTCGCCCTGGCTGCCCTGGTCTACTGGACAGATCCCTGAGGAACGTGGCCCTGCTCAAGCTTAGGGGCCCAGGACTACCATCTGGTGGGCTCTGTGACGTGGGATGTGGCCCATCACAGGGGGGCGGGGGCTTCAGGGACCCCTCTGAGGGGTTGTCAGTGGGGTGGCCCTTAAGGACCTCTGTTGACAGGCACAGCGGGCAGGGCGTGGCAGGACAGACAAGCAGGGAGTCAGCTCCCCAGTCCAGGACCCGCCCCCTAAGCGAGCACCAGGAAGAGGACTAGTTGGCAGGGCCAGGAGGCTGAGCCCAGGCCACACCTAAGGTGCCCGCTTTGATGAGCGTGAAGTCACTGGGTGACTGTACTCAGCTCTGCTGGCCAGCTCATGACCCATCACGAGGAGGCCGGGGACGCACCTACCACTTCCCAGGCGCCAGCACCAGGCACCACCACGCACCACACGTGTGCCTGTGATCCCATACACCGCTCACACCCACCCTCCACACTCACACTGCATGCCAAACCCAGCACACTCACTGCACACACTCACACTCACTTTCTGAGCCGCGTGAGGCTTTGCGGTGGGCGCTGAGGTGCCACCTGCTCCCCAACTCTGTGTCCCAGGGGCCAGAGCCCCCCGCCAGCCCCTGGGGACAGACGCAGGCTCTGATCGACAGCCAGTGGCTAGCAGTGAAGAGAGGGCGAGTCTGGGAGATGGGCAGGGCAGAGGTTGGCCAAGCTGCCCCCAGCCCCGGGCTGCAGCTGGCAGGAGGCTGTGTGGCGCTCTAGCTGGGGGAGGCCGGGGCACTGTGATGGGAATGAGGCGGCTGGCTCACTGGATGGCATGCCCCTGTCAGAGCACGGCCATGCTCTTGCACCCCTGGGTCCCTCGGTCGTGAGAAATGGCCTGACAAAGACGGGGGGGGGTGCAAGAGTCCCACACTCGTTAGCAGCAGGGGGCCCCACTCCCACAGAGGTCCACGCTGCGAGCTCACGGGAGCTGGTGAACGCCATGGGCTGAGCTCGGCACACACGCCAGGACTAGCAGCTGCTGGAAGCGTGGGGTGTCAGGAGTCCTACAGCTGAACCCCAGTTCCTGCAGTCAGCCACAGGGGCCTTCTGAACAACTCCCTGAGCCACAAATCCCTACCACCTCAAACACAGCTAAGCTGGAGCCCAGAGCACACGCACCCACGCATGCCCTGAGCCCGGCACCCACACCCACCCTGAGCCCAGAACCCATCCTTGAGAACATAGCAGCCTCTGCTGTCTCCCAGAGCCCCAGGAGCAGTGGGGGCGGTGAGCCGGCGAAGGCTCCACACGGCCTGGGCAGGTGCACTGAGGTCCTAGGCCTGACCCCCCCAACTGTACGGCTCCCAAGGGAGGAGGGGCACAGCAGGTCAGCGAGCTCATGTTCACCTCATGGGTGATCCCCTGGCAGCCACGGTGGCTTCAGAACCCAGGGTCTCATGGAAGGGCAGTCTCTGCTATGGCCCCCCACCCTCTGCAAGTCACAGAAACGCCACAGCTCGGGAGTCATCTCCAGGAGCCGCAGGCTGGCGCTCCTGGTCACAGGGCCGGACGACGCAGAGCTTCGGCTGGACCCGAGGGCACAAGGCTTGCCCACAGCCT